GGTCTTTAAGGTATCTGAATGCTCCATTCTTACTGTTCCCAATATCAGATGGCATCCTGAGATACTTTTCATTCAAAGTTTCATTTGGTACGGTAAGAGCAATCTTGATATCATTCCGAACACTATCTGGCACGCCCTTGCTGAAATAAATTGTTGATTTAGCATGATTGACTCTCTGACCGGTTGCTCGACAATAAGTGTCCAAGACTTGGTTTACCTCCTCCGCACCCTCACTATTTGCCTTGAAAAACAGCAGGCTGTCATCAGCGAATAAGAGGTGATTAATCTTGGGCGCCGTAGGTGACACCTGTAACCCCTCCATGTTGGATGACTCTCTTCTAGATTTTAACAGGCACGACAGGCCCTCTGCTGCTAGCAAGAACAAGTAAGGTGAAATCGGATCCCCTTGTCTTATGCCACGGGTTGGCTTGAACCCTTCAAGCCTCTTTCCATTGAAAAGCACTGAGAAATTAACTGTTGATACCATATTCAGGACAATGTTTACCCATCTTTCCGAGAACCCCAGTTTAAGCATAATTGCCTTTAGATATGGCCATTCAACCCTATCATATGCTTTCATCATATCTAACTTCAAAGCACACGATTGGTGTTTCTTTGCTTTATTCCTCTTCATGAAATGCAGACACTCATATGCAATAATGATATTGTCAGTTATCATCCTGCCGGGCACAAAGGCGGACTGTTCCTCAGATATGATATCCGGTAAGATTAGCTTCAGGCGGTTTGATATTACTTTTGATGCAATCTTATAAAAGACGTTGCACAAGCTTATTGGGCGGAATTGAGACAGAAGGGTGGTTTTTTTACCTTCGGTATAAGGACCAAGATGGTCTCATTTATACTCTCAGCTGACTCTGTGCCGTCAATAATCCATAGAACCATCCTGGTGATCTCTTCTCCACACGTCTCCCAATGACGCTGAAAGAAGTGTGCTGGAAATCCATTCGGACCGGGTGCCTTGGTTGGAAACATTTGGAATAGGGCTGTCTTGACTTCCTTAATATCATAGGGGGCGTTTAGGGTAGCATTCATCTCATCCGTAACCTTCCTCGGCACCGTTTCAAGCACTTGATCCATGTCTTGGACCCCTTCCGATGTGTACAGGGTTTTGTAAAAATCAGTTGTCATAGCCTCCATCTCCTCTGTATCCTCTGTTACTTGGCCATCATTTCTCTGGAGAGCTTTTATTTTATTTTTTCTGCGACGGCGGCTTGCACGCAGATGGAAAAAGTAAGTATTTTTGTTGCCGTGTTTTAGCCACTCAATTCTTGCCCTTTGCCTCCACAGAATTTCTTCGCGGTGATAAAGCTCAACCAGTTGGTCTGTCACCTTAATTTCAGCTGCTGTCGGCCCGGATCTACCTGGGGATCCCCGCATCTCCTGTAGCAGGTTCTGCAGCTGCTTTATCTGGGCCCGAACATTACCAAAGTGTCGGCGGTCCCACTGCGATAGGTCAGTCGCCAATGCTTGGAGCTTGTTGCGCATGCCAGCGACGGAATTTGCCGGGCCCCGTGCCCATGCTGTCTGCACCACTTCCGTCAGGGCGGGATCCCTTTCCCAGCAGAGCTCATATTTAAAAGTGCGTTGGTCCCGCGTACATGCATGCACTCCACCCACGTCGAGGAAAATGGGTACGTGATCAGAAGATGCTGCATCTTTGTGCTTAGTGATAGCGTTAGGAAACGCCGTGCACCACGCCGCATTCGCCACACCTCTGTCTAAACGAACCCTAGTATACGTTCCTCCTGCTACTTTCTTCTCAAAGGTCCAATTCCTTCCCTAACCAATGTCAGTTAAGCCACAAGTGTCAAGTGCATCCCGGAAAGAATCCATCTGGGCTTGGCTTCTATTGCCAACTCCGTCATGCTCGCTTTGTAATAGAACTTCATTGAAGTCACCCATGACGACCCAAGGCTGGGTGCTGGCTCCTGTTATCCTCCATAGCAAATCCCAAGTTTTGTATCGTTCGCTCACCTGCGCTTCTTCGTATATGAAGGTAATTCTCATCGGGATATGGGCTAGCTCCTCCACAGCAACATCAATGTGATACTCCGAGTAACCAATAACTTCAAGCTTTATTTCTTCATTCCAAAAAATTCCAAGTCCCCCACTTCTACCTGAGCTGCTCACAGCAAAACTTTTATCAAAGCCTAATGTGCCTACCAAATTCTCCACTCTAGAGCCCTCTATCTGGGTTTCAACAATACATACTATAGAGGGGCAAGTTGCCTCGTGAGATCACGAAGCTCATGAACTGTCGCGGGTTTGCCAGCCCCACGGCAGTTCCAGCATAGTAGACTCATTGCGCCTGGCGCGACCCCTCATGGGGGCCCGCCAAACGCGCATCATTTTGTTTGCTAGAGGCCAGGCTCCTCACTAATCCTTTCTCTGGGGCTGTGGTTGTTGACTTGTTTCTCTTCTGCTCCTGCTTCGTCAAGGGGCTAGATGGTCTTTCTGGCGCCGGCAGAAGCAAGGGCGGGGCACCCCTTCCAATATGAGGAGGAGGGTTGGGTGGGGGGGGGGGCTTGAGGTCCGGAGCACCCCTCTTACGATTCCTCTCCCCGTCTGCCATGTCTGTATCCACTGTAGTTACTGAATTTAGCCCGGTATCGTCATCGCCCCTTGGCGTATATGGATTCTGCTGCATTCCCCCTCTTCCTCTGCCGCTGCCACGACCAGCACGGCCTCTGCCTCGGCCACCTCTGTTTCCATAGTTTTCGCCAGGGCCTCTCCCAGGGCCTCGAAACCAGGTTGCTTTAAGATCCTTAAACACTAGTGCCTTGGGAGGGTGGACCCCATCCCCGCACTCCTTGAAAGTGTGGCCCATATATCCGCAAACTGCACACCAGTCCGGCAATCTTTCATACTTCACCCTGAAAAGCACCCTCTGAACCTCTCCCTTCTTCTTCACCACTAGGGAGACAACATTCTTCAGGGGTTTCGTGACATCAATGTTCACACGCACCCGGGAAAAATTTCCTTCAAAGTCCTGCGCCATTGATTCAGCATAGATGAACTCCCCACTGTCGATGAGAGAGCTTTGATCTTGGAGAAATATCCTTGAGGGAAGTCGTGTATCTGCACCCACATCTCAATCTTATTGAGCTCAATAGAAGAGGGTTTGGTAAAACCATCATAAGGTGCCATGACGACTGCCTTCCCCTTGAAATTCCATGGTCCATCCTCCATGACCCGTTCCCAATCACCCAAACACGAAAACTGCAGTGTATAGAGGTTGTCCTCGAGAGGTTTAATCTTCACCTCCTGGGCTAGATCCCATGCAACCCGCATATTGCGGAAAAACCAATACTGACTGTAGGATTTATCAGTATGAACCCTAGCAATTGCCATCCAACGAGTCGCCTCCTCCGGGAGCTCGTCCTCTTCTACGATCACATCCTGCAGATCATCCTCCTGGAGTCCCAGCTCTGCCATCATCGCCTCGAGTTCGGAGGAGCCCGAACTTTCCGCTTCATCCGCCATCGATCAGATCTCTTGCCCGTGGTCACGTTCCGCGGGCGGTAGGATCCCTAGCTGTCCCGATCTCACCCTCGACCTTAGCCCGGGGCCTCGGTGTTCCGGTGATAGGGGAAACCGGCAGGGGAGAGAAGATCTCTACGGCGGAACCTGAGTCGCCGCCGAGATGAGAGGGAACCCTAACGAGAGGGGAAACCGGTCTTCAGGTGATACGAATACTATTCTCGCTGTAAGCGAACTATAGCATTTGCGGGCCGGCCCATATATGATATATCTCTATCGTTCTGGCAACATGCGATGTGATTTTTTGTTCGTTTTAGATTCAATATGCAGTTATTTTTTTCTATGTCTGGTCGTTTTTTCTTAATTTTTTTATAGAAAAGATCATAAGTTTTAAAAAATTGTTCATTATTCAAGAAATGTCGCAAATTTGAAAAAAAATGTTTGTCAACTTTAAAATATTCAAAACTTCAAAAAATGTGAAAATTCAAAATATATTCATGGATTTGTTTCCGGACTAAAAAAATGTTTGTAAATTAGCACAATGTTGGCGAGACTCAGAGAGTGTTTCTAATTTTTTAACTTGCTGTAAATTTTAAATTGATCATGAATTAAATCTTATTCAAAAGTTTTTGAAAAACTTCGAAATTAAAAAGAAATGTTCATGGATTCAATAGGTATTCAATTTTTTTTCAAGTGTCCTAATTTTTAAAAATACAATGCTTTATTAAATTTATTGAAATTTGTAAAAAAAAGGATGGCAAGGAATGGTAAAAAATATAAAAACCCGAAAGAAAATCTTAGTAAGAAAAAGAAACCGTTCAAAAGTAATGCAAAGAAAGCATGAATCTTCCCAAGATGTTAATCTTGTATTTAAAAAATGTTAGTCAAGCATTTGAAAATATTAAAATGTGTTTACAAAAAAGTTGACCGTGTATTAAGAAAATGTTAACCTATAAGCAAGGCATAGCATGCGCGTGGGCTAGATATAGTCCTGGTGGGCGGCGCGTTACACGTTTAATAGGATCCACCACCTGGATGGAATAAAACGGTCTTTTTTGGTTAACTGGGCCAACCTGGGCTTTCTGGTGCGACGCCTACCCCGAGCCCACCCTCTCCGGTCTATCTCCTCTCCTCTCGATCTAACCGCCGGCGGCGGCGGCGGATTTTACACTCCTCCTCGACTCCTCCCTTACCCGCCCGCCGCCGGCGCCCGCAACCTCTCCCGGACGTGCCCCTGCTGAGGATCTGCACCGCCGGCGAGCTCCTGGCGCCGCGGTAAGTAAGGCCCATCTAATCCAGCGTCGCATTGCACGATTTGCGAGGCCGGAGAGGTTGTTGGCGGGATGTGAGACCCTCTAAATTACCGCCATTTCTTGTTGCTCCGCCGCAGGCTCGGCTCGTTGGATTCGAGAGTGAGCAGACCGGCCGGCCGCCCCTCGCTGCCACCAACAGCCCGCGCTATAAGCCAAGCCTGGCGGGCAGCACGAAGCCGCACGCGCATGCGCCACCACCACCACCTCCTCCGTTGCCGCGCGATGCCTCTCCTGCCGTCGCCGCCGAGGACGCTGCGGGTTTCGGGAAGCCTTGTGCACCACCGCCTCGTCCGATGCCGTGGGTTGCCTATCCCGCCGAGGACGCCGGGGGTCTCGGGCGGGCGCCTGTTCGCCTCCCTCCCGCTCCCGCCGCCTCTCCGGTCCCCAAGGTACCCCCTTCCATCCTTTTGTGCCTTGCAAGATGTGATTCCTTGGAACCTGCTAGGACACATGGTAGATCTGCCTCAGGCGGCAGGCAGTAGAGGTCATGCTGCCAGCGTATGACGTTTTCAACCAGTTGGTTAGAGGTTTTGTCGGCGGTGAGGGGAATTGGGGATGTGAGGAGAGCAGCAAGGGGATGAGATTGAAGAGCAGGATATGTGAACTGGGGAGCATTTTCATTCAGCATACTGATCTGTTCGATTACATGGCATTAAACTAGATCTGGGCACCACAGCTGGCAGGTGGGCCCTACGACACTTGCCACCCTTTCTATCATGGATCAACCCGCGTCGGGCAACCTCACGGTGGCGGCCACATGCGACGGGGGCATGATACTATGCTCCACGTCTCGTGTCTGTCTCTCCTTAATATGGAAAGTACTTCATATTAGACAATGCCGGAGATTGCCAAGATTACTGGCTTCTACCTGCTATTACCAAATCTTGTTTGGTTCATTAAAAATGTGAAATAGGCACACTTCTTATGTTCATGAAAATAACGCAGTGCATGAGAATCAAACACATCAGAAATCACCAACTATTAGAGGATGAGACAACAGTTTGCTTTCTGTGTTTTGAGGGAACGAAGATTGTTTGCTAGGGATGTGTAGGGTGGACATTCACTGAAGGACTTCGTGTCCATGCTTATCACGTTGTATCGGGTTTTGTTTTATCTCTTCTTAAAATCTATATTCCCAGATACTCCCTGAAATGTGTGTACCACCCCATATTGGCATATGGATACATGATATAGCTTTTGGTCAGTAATTGTACCCCTGGGTTGGTTAAAGCCTGTACTTGATGAGTATAACTCTTTCACAATTACAAGAGGTTGGTAGTTTTTTTCTTTCTTATAATAGCTGTTTGGTGCATTGAAATATTATGAAGACATTAGTTTATGCGTTTATTTCTTTTGTAGAGAGGTGCATATTTGGTATCTTTGTCCCGATGAGCTGAAAAATCAGTCCCAACTGAACATGTATGAAGAACTCCTGTCTCCTTCTGAAAGAGAGTATGCTGACTCTATGAAAGCAACAATGTTGCGGAAAGATGCTGTTTTGTCCCGTGCATTGTTGCGCACCACCCTCTCAAGATGTATGTAACCACCAACTGTCTATTGCACTGTCGATCACACTTGATTTGATTTTCATGCCTGTTACTTGTCTGTGATTTAATTTGGAAATTGGTTGCAGGTGTTAGATTCAATTGCATACATTGGTTAGGATTGACAGCAAATATAATCGTTTCCATGGTTTCTTCTAATCATATAAACAAAATTTCGTAATCTTTATAATCATGAGGAAAACTCTATCTTTGCAAGAAAAAAGCTTAGTATTTCTGGAGAACTTCAGTGGCTAATGCAATTTATGGCTCTTAGCTGCAGTGAGTCATTCCCTTTAAACATTGCCTGTAAGTAGGTGGCCTTCCATTTGTACATTCATCTTGTCTTACATATACAGAAAGCATATGATTCAAAATCATCGTGTCATGTAAATTTGACTTTGTCCGTAGATGTTCTTTCCTCCTACTAGGTGTATTATCACTTTCTGATGCGCAGTTTCCGTAAATAGTCATAAAATGGAGAATGAAAATATCTTCCATTTTGACCTGACACATGGAAGTTTGACATGCTGCTCAATGTGAAGTTTATAAGCATTTGATCTTGTCAATAATTATACTATACTCTTGTCTTGTTAGTTCTTACCAATTATATTTTATACAGAATAAAACATGTCATGGGATAGCATAACAGAATTACTGATATGCTTATTGGTAATTTGTTTGAACTAGATTAGATACAGGTTATAAAATTGATCCGAGGTCATTTGAGTTTAAGAAGAACAAATTTGGCAAACCTGAGGTAAGAGGTTAGGCTTCAGCGGTTAATTTTTCTGCAATCTAAAGCCTTGTAACTAACTTGCCTTTGTTGTATTCCATGTTTAATCAGGTATTGTGGCCACATGATGATAGCACTGCAGAGCAACCTTTGCATTTCAACATTTCACACACAACTTCTTTGATTGCCTGTGGTATTGCCATTAATGCTCGTGTATGTTCCCTGCCCATGTGACTATCGAAAGTGAGAAAGAAATGACCATGTTCTGTTGCTTTGGAAGTTATTCAGTTGATATTGCTATTCTATGTATTGTCTCAGATTGGCATTGATATTGAAGAGAAGAAGCGAAATACAACCAAGAATATTTCATCTCTTGCTCGCCGTTACTTCACCCCTTCTGAAGTTAATTATCTATCTGAGGTTTCAGATTCAGATGCTCAGCGAAAGGAATTCCTGAAACTATGGACTCTTAAAGTTAGTTAGTCTCTCTTTGGTCCTCTACTTTATAGTTCTTTCCTGTACGACTACTACATTGTGCTGATTTACATTCTAACATTTTTGATGGTATTTTCCTGTACTAGGGTAGGGTCTATCCTCTGGCCCACATGTAGTCTAATATGACCACCTAAAGTATACTGTAGCTGACTTTGTTGTTCTTTGGTATAGAAATGCAGGTCTGGAATGTGTATAGAGCTAACCCATTTGAAATGCTAACTAGATAAATCCTTCTTTACATATGATTATATTAAATAAATCAAATTGAAGGACACATAGATGGGCACTTTATGAATAGTGCTATTGTGGAAAAAAGGAATCTCTATGAGAAGAGTAAGCACCAAAGTTGGGTTTGCAGCAAATGTTGGCCTATGTAAATTTAATATTCATAATACTGATTACTGATATTGTGTTTCAAAATAAATTACTTATATGGAATTGATGTGTAATTTTTTTAGGAAGCATATGTAAAAGCTCTTGGAATGGGTTTCTCAGGTGCTCCATTCAGTACGTTTTCAATCATGCTGAATACAAGTAAGGGAATTCGGATTTCTAAGGTATGCAGCTTGAACCTTTCCCGTTTATTACTGTCTTAAACATATGGTACATCTGTAACTTAAACATATGGTACATCTGTAAGGGAGCTCTGGAACTATGTATCTGAAAAACAATCGACATGATATTCTGTGCACCTGACACATGGGTCTCCTGGACACCTAACCACTTCTGAGAGTATCTCAGCCTCCTGAGCCCGACTGATAAAATTTGACACCTTTATCTGCTAAAGAGATGACTACAGAAATGGTGTTGCCTGTCCACACTTATGTGAACATTGTGCACAAGAAAAGGGAAAGCTCACAATTATGACTTTGGTATATCCAGATTTCATCTAAAAACAAAAGTCAAGATCACAATTTTTTTGAATTAATTAAGCACAGCTGTACTTCAAGTTAACAATCTCCTCTCTGCTTTAAAATACACAAAAGAAAACCAATCTTTTTCCGATCTGAAGCCTCACAAACAGCAGGGTTCATATATTTTCTAGATCAAACATTAGGGATCAAGCAGATTTGTTGTGGGTCTCTGTGATGAACTCAATAGGTCGGAGAATATGTAAGTGAATTTGGGGATTGATGGTTACTTGCCTGTTGAGTTCTCGAAGGATTGACAGAGAATTATCTCAAACAATCTCGAGGATGGCGATCTACTGTGCTGTCTGCTCATAGACGTGCGGGTGGGAGGCGACAGTGAAGTTAAGGAGTCAGCAGGTAAGGAAGGGAGGAGAAACAACAAGACGAGTCCGTGTGGTAGAGGGTGAGGTTTACTTAATCAAACGGCTGCACAGATAGCTTGAAGGTAGACCGCATAGATGTTATTCCTCTGGGACAATTCTCTAGGATTAACGTGAGTCCTCGAAAGGAGCCGCCCATTATTAACTCTTAGATAGTAGTAGTACATCACAGAAGTCAGGTGCTTGTGCCTTATTATTACTATGTTGCAACGTAGCAATAAATCATTTTTATCGATCTGCCTTGACTCTTGTTGGATCTGCCAGGCATTGAATGATTCCAGGACTGGCTGTGACCATCTGTCTGAGAACTGGCTGTTTACACTCGCGGAGCTAAATAGTTCTCACTACATGTCAGTTTGTATAGAGGACAGCTCCAGAAGTCAAGGTCTGTATACATTGCCATCTTGGGTAATAACAGTTTGCCTACCTTGTTCTTTCAGTTGCTTCATTGTTGTTGTATATGTCGCGTCGCAGGCCCTGAAGACAGCCCAGCACCAGTAGGATTGAAAGTATGGAAGACCGTACCATTTGTCGAAGATACACTCGTCTCTGGAACAGAAGCTGTAAAACTTATTGCCTGACTACCGAAACATCGTTGTGAAATACACTTGGTCCAGTACCGATAGGTTTTGGTCTCTGCCCACTGAAACATCATTTTTCCTGTGTGTTGGCTCTCTTCTGTTGGTGGAAACATTGTTGGTCTGAGCTGCCATTCAATGGCTGTTACTACATTACCATATGTGTCTTCAGAGTTTGTTTGCTCACAACATTTTTTTTTATCGGAGACGAATCTTGCGATTTGAAGCTGTTGGAGAAGGGCTTCAGAGAAGCATATTGGTCGAAAGGCCTGTATTTGCATTTTTAGGGCGAGTGATTGCTCCATCTAGTTTGTTCTATACCTAAACAGAGTTGCCCTGTTTTAAGAGAAAGAGTTGCTCAATTTTTATCAGGAAAAGCAGAGTCTTAATCTGTATTTATCTAGAATGTTATATGGGATACAAATCACACAATGCACTTGAGGCGGTTCTCAGCCACAAATGACTGCTGACAGTCAAAAGGGAATGTACTTGGCTTCCTGGAACAATTTAGCTCGTTCTTCAACAGGACAATGTGACCATAATAACATCCTCTCCTGCAACAATTCAACTTCTTCGCCACTGAACAGTCATCAACTCATCAAATCGTGAATGCCAGATCCCCATAATGTCACAAGCACTTTCACCGTAGTCTTAGTGTTTCAAGTGATCAATCAGAGAAAAAACTCATTCTAGTTTATGGGGTTCTTGCCAGTTTTGCAATAGGGACTGCTAAAACTCAGTCGACTGAGTTTTAGTCAAGTCTCAGTCGACGGTATTAAGATTCGTGTTTAGTCGCTGGGTGCGATTCTGCGTTTCTCGGACGCAGCTTCCTTGCAATCGCATGCACGTACGTGGGCTTCGCCCCTTTTGCCATTGTTTATTCATTATTGTATGGGCTTATCTGGTCATCGGGCCTCACAGGCTTGTTTGTTTTCTCATTTTTATTTTGTTTTTTATTGTGAATGTTTTCCTTTTTGCCGCCGATGCATGCCGCTGAACTTTTACGTACCCAGCTGCCATGCCGTACATAGTACATAAGAAAGCCTGTTTAGGTACGATTTTTGTTTTTGTTTTTTTACTATAATATTTTGCTATATTCCTTTTTCTGTTTTTAAATCTATTTCCTTTTTTATATTTTTTGTTTTTATAATTATTCCAAAAATATTACCACCTTGTTGCACATACATCTACATTGATCAAGCACAATTACATGCCTATTCTCCTTCTGCAATTTATTTATTTTTGTTCAAAAAAATATTGTCATGGGTCACACGCTTCGGTAGCATGGGGTCACACATCACCAACACACAATTGTAAGCATGTCGTCTGTGTGCAACTTATTTTTTCTTTTAAAAAATTTATGTCATCGACCACTTGCAAGTGTTGCCCCTAATTGCAAATGTCATCCCAACTACAGATTTGTGGGGTTTGTCGGTGGGGAGAGGGCAATTCCATGTCACTAGGCACGCAAACTTCAAGTGTCGTCCTTGAGTGCAACTGCATGTCTTAAGTGAGACTGCAACTATGTCGTGTTTTAACGAGGAGAGGATGCTTGCATGTGTGCTACTAGGCAAGCAACTGCAAATGTCGCCTTCAGTTGCAACTTTCTATTGTTTGTCGGTGGGGAGATGTCAGTTGCATGTTTGTCACTTGGCACGCAACTGCAAGTGTCGCCCCGGAATGCAACTGCAGGTCTTCAATGAGAATGCAATTCTATGACGTTTTTGTCGTGGAGAGGGCAGTTGCATGTCTGCTACTAGGCATGCAACTGCAAACGTCGCCCTCGACTGCAACTTTGTGGTGTTTGTCGGTGGGGAGAGGCCAGTTGCATGTGTGTCACTTGGCACGCAAC